CTGGTCTTGTGTCTGGTCTTGTGTCTGGTCTTGTGTCTGGTCTTGTGTCTGGTCTTGTGATGGTCTTGACTACAACACCGTCAAGAATCTGCGTCAGGTCTACCACGGTTGGTTGCATTGATTTGCAACAGTACCAACAGTTTCCGACAGAATGTGCGCAAAAACCACAAAAGTGGATGGCCATTGCTTGCAGGCAAAATGAGGGTTGAGCTTTACTTGTGGCAATTTTCACTTTTGAGCAGGTGCAGTGGTGGGTCTGGAGTTCAACGGCACCGACACCGCCCTGACTTGCCAGAGGATCAGCCAGTCCATCATTGGCGACTCGGTGGTGTTCCTTCCCAACAGCGCCGAGTCGGGATCACAGGCAGTGGAGGCCTGGAACAGCCAGGTGGAAGCCCAGATGGCCATGTGAAGACGACAAGAAGAAGGAACAGAAATACTGAACCCAGGGCTTAGGAGCAGCACGGGGCAACATTTCCCACCGTGGTCGATTGACCACTTGCCAAAGGTGTCACTTCTCAGCGAACTTGTCCCAAGTGTGAAAATACGGACTTTTCAAAATGATGAGATGACAACAAGAGCAGTCTCTGTCAGAGTTGGACTTAGCAGGTGTTGACCCTTGCTGGTTACTTGTTTTAAGAGTTGTGCATTTTCTTTATCGCACAGTCCTTTTCTTTAAAATTCTGAGAAAATGTTGCAAAGTGATATTTACCTCAATGCCAGGCTGTGGCCCGGGGTTGCTTGATGGGCCCCACTCATGTCCAACCTCCAAAGAACTACCGAGGTAGTTCAAGTCTCTCTGTGTGTGTGCTAACGCAGTGGGAATCACCAGGCATTAGCGGTGTAATTTTCGCTCAGTGCTGCATACAGAATTTCCCCGAGCAAATTTAAACGTCCTAGTTGTTACGGACGCAGAAAATTCCTGCGTGCTTACTATGCTGTAAACTGCATGCTCACTGCATGTATTTTCCAATGAGGACCCACACTCAGCTGCATTCCTCACACAAACAATTGCCATCCTTTTTTGCGGTTTTTGCACACATTCCATCGAAAACTTGCAGTTAGACTGTACCCAGGGCCCTCACAGTTTTTTCACAAAGCCATCAGGAAACACGGCTGAAGATGCCTTGCAGGTGGAACAACATGGTGTTCTTAGCGTGGGGTCCGGAGTCTTTTCTTCACAAATGCAAAGTTGAACGACAGGTTCTAAGTGCACTACTTCAGTCACAATGCCTTGAAATTGCTGTCCTTAGTACTTAATGCGACAGGAGCCCAGACTCTAGTCGTTGTTTTGTGGTGTTTTTGCATGCAAGTTGTAAACAGTTGTACACGTAGTTTGTTGTGTTTTTGTGTTGACCAGTTCTAGCCAATGAACAAAGTGCTGAGGGCTGTTTTGGAAGTCGCTGCCTGGAAAGGAAATGTTGGTTCATTGTTAGCACTGTCGAAATGTGAATGATATTCACTGCCTCCAGAGAAAAGATTGATTCGTAGCTTGCACGAACACAAATGTAAATCTATGACATCGCAGAAAACATTCACTCCTGAAATTCTTAAAAGTCAAATTAGTTTCTATAATGTTGGATGAACTCTGCCAAGGATGCTTCGTTTCTTTACATTGTCTTCACATTTGTTTATGCTGTGAACCAGCCGAGAGTTGACATAATCTGCACTGAAATGTTTTGATTCGGGGGATCTGGGAAAACTTGTAAAGTTTCAGCTTATGAATAACGGTCCTGGTTTAGGTTAAACCAAGAGTTGGAAGTATTATGATTACTGGCTAATTGGGAAAAAAATGGGGAGCCAGTTTTAAGACTGCTTTCGTGGGGGTGGAAGCCAGAATTTAGTATTTTGGAAGATGGACGCGATTGTTAAGACCGGAATGTCTGAGCTTTCACCCGAAAGGCTTCCCTCTAGTTAAGAAGTCATCAATGCAAAGAAAAGAATATAAAGGGTCAACCTGTTGGGACTATGGGGGGACTTCAAAGAATGTACGCGATTTGTAACTATGCCCCGCCCCCACCAAACAAACGTATTCGTGCCAAAAAGTCCACTGAGCTTTGTGTTTGACCACCAAAAAAACCACACTGATGCATTATCTGAGTCTGAAAGCCATTGGTATTAATGCAAATGTTTTGTAATGAGTGTAGATCTGTGAGTACGTTAGGCAGAGGAAGAGTTCAAAAAGGGGGCGGGGATGAGGGATAGGAGGGGGGGGCGTGGAGACATGGATTGGGGGAAATTTGTAAAGGCGGGAAAAGCAGCTGTATATAAAACATTCCATCATGCGTGTGGTTGTTTTCTCGTGATTTCGTCGTACGTGTAGCTCGCTGTTATTTTCTGTACAGAGTTTGGCCTCCCCTACTTATGTCTTACAGGCTCCGCCTTTTTAAAGGACTTCATGTGGAAGTGTTGATATATGATGACGCTGCACCTTTTATTTCTGTACAGAAAAGCATCGCCTTGAGATCGCAAGTTTTAAATTTTGGTAAACATAATTTTTTTTTATTTCATAGATATTACATATTGATAATGGATGGATTGATTGATAGAAATTAATTGATTGATCTTCTGTTGACAAAAACCAGTCACTCTTTTCATCATCTTGGAACAAACCACTTTCTGGTGGGTAACATTTGGGGGGATTTTCATGGGCAAATTGTTCACATATAATTGTTTTATATTGTGCATTACCTTAACCCAACGTGATGTCGTAATATCTGTAGAAGTGAGTGGTAAGGGAATGGGCGTGCCCCTTTAAAAAAGATCAACCGCCAAAGCCAACAGTTACCCTGCACAAGCAAATGCCTGAGCCCCCCCTCTTTAGTACATGTAGGTCACGCCCCTCCATTACCACTCCCGTCTCATCTAGCCTCGGTCACATGCAGAAATCGAATGCACGTAGCATACAATGCACCCACCATTTGTAATCTGGTCAGAAAACCTTGATGAAAGTATTAAATAGGTCGACGTGAATTTAATATGTCGTAGGCTGAGATGTGATGATTTGACGGGCTTTTTTAACCAACATAGCTGGATGAGCGCTTGTCGACCCAAGTTTCGACACCCGCTCAAACCCGTTGCGAAAACAAATCGTGAAATTTCTTCCAAAAAGGGGGGGGGGTTAAGGCCTGCCCGTGTGTTTCTGTGTGTGAATGTAACCCGTAGGGAAAGTGAAACTGTCTCTGTTTTAATATTGATGTGATTGTAAATGTATATAAGTGGTTTATAAGTTAATGGAAACTGTGGCAAGATACTTTAAATAAAACAAACTGTTTTAACTGTAAAAATGTTTCCATGGCTCTGGTTTGAGTCGTCAGTGTCTTGATAAGTTCTTCGAAAACTCCATCAAATGATGTTGGAGATAAATGTCTAACTTGCACATTAATTAACTGTCTTCCGCATAATCAAGTCCTTCGAATGGGTACAACAACCCTCGCCCTCGCCAACATCGAGAGCTATCAAGGATTTAGTCTCTTAAATGACGGGTTTTAAAAACTCATTGTTGCAAGAATTCCCCAGTGCATTAGAACAATCAAGGAATTCTTCCAAAAGGAGTTCGTTAGTGTTTGGATACATATTTCTAAAGTGCCAATTCCATGCTTTTATCAACCGGTAAGGCGCCCCCCCCCCCCGGCCAAAAAATGAAGAAAGATAAACCACCAGCACTCGAAAATACAGAGCGCCCCCTTCTCACTCTGCCAACGACATCGCCACCAACATGGACTTTGATCTTATCACAGCGAAACAACCGAAGCGTCCATCATCCATTTTGTTCGGAGGTTGTGACTAAAAGCAAATCGCCCGTTTTGTGCGGGATTTCGAAGAATGTAAAACAGCAAATTGCCGATTTATTCTGTTCTAATCGGGTAAGTCGATTTACCATTAAATTCTGGTGAACTTTTTTTGTCCCGAGTTTGTTTTTGAAAGGATCTACGCCCTGATTGGATTGTGGTATGTGCCCGTTATGCATTATGGACTCAGTGCAGCAGTTTTTCTGCGTGACGTGTATATCGACGATCTTTTTTCCTAATCTCCCCAATCCCTTGAAGCCTTTATAGACCTAGAATTTAGTTATTAAGGCCAATCACATTATTTCGTCAACTGCCATTTTAATAATACATGTAATTTGAGATGTTCTTTCCACGTATGGCAGAGATTTCCTTGGCCGATTCTGTATGTTTAACCATGGAGGAAGGAAAACAGTTTCCTCCATGGTTTAACGGTGCTCTTCAAGACATTGTTATACCATTCGCGGGCGTGCGTGGTTGGATTAGGACCCACGACCACCCTTGACCACAGCAGCCATCTTGAAAATCCAAATCCAGGCTACGTTGGACCTGTACTTCTTGGGGAGAAAACTTGGCCTCGAGGAGGCAATGTTGAATGCTTCCAGCGATGCTGATATATCGGGTATTGACGCTCATGTACTAACTGACACCCGCCGTGGCTTCATCTTCTGGCCTTACGAGCTCTTCTTTTCCGGACAAGCCACAGACTTTAGGTACAAGAAGATGCGTTACCATGTTTCCCCCTGGAAATCAGCAGCATTTGTTTTCCAGGAGTGAGCCACTTTTTCCGGGGGGGGGAAGTACTTATCGGCCAACATAGGAGAGGTCAATTTGAGATTTATTCTAGCAAATCGGTGGTTTTTATCCCCTTTCAACTCGTTTTCATTTCTTGCAGCCCCCAGGACTTTTTCTCCTTTTCATTTTTGTTTTCCCCCGGGGGGTAAGCCGTGCCTCTTTCCCCCTCGTGACCCCCATGGTTTACCCCCTATCTGTCCAAAATTTGAACACGTGAGAAAGTTATACATCACGTAACTTGGAAGCGCAATGTTGCAGCTAGTTGTCGTTTCCTTTCATTAAAGTTACAGTAGGAGCAGACAAATTTTGAGAGAATCGACCAATTATTTCTTTGTGTCAGAGTCATTTAAACCTTCCAGGATCCATGGCATATTCAGCAACTTTGAAAAATGGTCGATGATAGACGTTTTCATGAGATTATGCTGTTCGTTAAACTTTGAGTAACTGTAATTCTCTCTTTCTCTGTGTTTTTTCTGAGATTTTCGTTCCTGATTTTTTTGGATGGTTGGTTGGGTTACTCAAACGATTGCTTTACCGCCTTTGTGTCGAAGCAACAAAGACCGTTTTGGTTTCCTTTGAAGGCTCTGGGTGCGGTCGAAGATTTCCACGGGCGGGATGTAAATTTCGGCCATTTTGTTTTTTGACTGACCGTGGATGGCATATATCTTTCTCTTAATACAGCGTAAAACAAATTTAAGAAGATGCAAACCTAAACACCTGCACGAATAGAGTAACAATCAACTGCTTTACGGTTAAATTTCAGCCACACAGATGTTGACGGAAAAAATGACAAGTGGTTACAAATCATCGTCGATTGTAAATTCATTTGTCGTTTATGGAAACGTAGACGAAGGGCTCGTAGAACTTTAATGGAAGCACAAAAGCGCCAGGTGCAATTAGTGGAAGTATAAAATTTCACAACTCATTCAGCAAACCCCATCTTTCAAGTCTCGTTTAATGACTGTTATTTAACGTGTATTTTTCCAAAAGCGTGATACATTCCAAAATTAAATTATCCGCAATACAGCCCACCAATGTTCAGGTGTTCTTATGTCTAATTCAGCAAACGCATTTCAGAATGAACAATCGTGTGTGATATTGCGAATAATTCGATCAAGGACTAAATCTCGCCAAACAAAGTGGCTAAGGCGAGCTGGGGTCAACCTCATTCAAATCGTCTGCGTTAGCACTAGAGTTAATCATTAACTAGATTAGAACCACACCACGCACAATGCAACTTGCGAGTCATAAACCAAGTGCGCGCCAACTTCGTGAAGTACGGGTTTGTACCATGCGCAAACCGTGTCAACATGGCAGGGACCATCTCATAAGTTCTGACTAGAAGTTCGTTGGTTGAAAAACTTGAACTGTTTACGTCTTTTCCCGCTAGCACTTAAAACATTCTCTTCCAAATGATCTCTTATGTTAGCAAATGCTGAAGAGTTCTTTATATTTTAAATGCAAAAGTGTTATTTTGTACGGTAACATCATTTTTAATCTTCAACTGAAATAAATATTTTAAGCAGAGCTGTTACCACTGAAATAAAAACAAATATACATTTGAAAGGAAAAGAAATTTTGCAGTGATTAAAATTTACAATATTTTCGTTGATTGACCGAAGAAATTTCGGGGAAAATCCCTTGACTGAGCTAAAACAGAATCTTTTAATGGCGAGAACTTGTTTCTTTTCCTTCAATTTCTGCAAATTCTTGGCCGCGTAATATCAGAAACTATTTCACAACCGTTTTCTTTTTTTCGTTTTTGATTCAAAGGACTGTCCCTCTTCAAGTAAATCGCCATGGCGTGGTCCTTGATTCTGTTGGCACTTGTGTGCACGCCGTTCGGTAAGTAGTAGTCCCATAGAGAAAAAAAATAATAAATTTTGAATTCAGAGAAGACAAAATTGAAGTGAAATTTCTTGTTATCATCTCTTTGATTATTAAATAGTCGATCATTTGGAAAGATTTTGGTTCCGTATCAACACTGTCGCACCAAACTATACGTCCATTATATTGCCCACTTTTTATGACGACGGTCAAAGTTTGCAGAATATCAGCCTTCATTAATGTCAGATATTTCGGTAAAATGTACAATTGCCCCCAATATGATGCTTTTAAACAAGGCAGTATTTAGACTTTGGATTATATTTTAGTATTTAACTTTTTCCTATCATTCCTGCTCTTACAATAGGGACGATTTACACTAGTGCGCCTCTAAGAGTTTGCAACGCGTTGACCAATTACAATGCGCGAAATCTGTCATCCCAATGCTTGGTTGGAAAGGCTCGACAGATTTCGTCCGTTGTGATTGGCCAACCGTTGCAAACTCTTGGAGGCGCACTATTGTCAATCGCCCGTATTGATCTTGTGCCCATAACCGACCGTTGTGTTTATTGGTCTTATGGGCAAAAATTGACCTTGGCGCAGAAATATGATTACTCAAGATGGCTAAACTTTAACCTCTGACCTGCAGCTGTCATGGGCGAGGAAAATATGTACTGCTTCAAATGCGCTGCCAACCCCGAGTGTGAGACCTCCGTCAGGTCCGACAGCGACAACGTGTTCTTGGGCAAATGCCAGGGAGTCTGTTACGTAAGTTCGGACAGTTCAGTTGTCAGCATCGTCGTTGCTGCCCTTGACAATGTCATCACTGTCATTGCCGGCCATTGCTGCATCTGTCATTAGCGCCGCAGCCAGCATCGTCATTGTCACCGTCGTTAATGTCATCAACTTACTACCCTAACCCTAATAACCATTCTGTTCATCGCATCGTCGCGCCACCACAACACTGTGAACGATCAACATTATCTCTTCCACTATCACTACCGCCACTGAGCATCAGACTTTCATAATCACCATCCTCATCCTCGTTCATCGAGCATCCTCGTTCCCCTGTTGTTGCCTAGCAATGGTTAAATCAAAAACACTTACTAATTCTAGGTGAAAGCTGGTCATTTGGACGTAATTCCAAGTCATTTTGTCGAAAAAGAACATCACACCGCCCAACAGTTTTTGTTTCATTTTTTTTCTTCTACCGCACACTCACAACTTCGGATCATGATCGCTCCTATTTACAATTATTTTAAACTCGAAAAATTGTTGCGATTGCAATTAAGTTGCATCGTTGTAGGCTGCATATTGAAAATGCGTGAGTCAGTTTGGTCTATTAGATTTGCGACACTTAGTGCCGACTCAAAACAATTTAGTAAAGTTCGATTATAATTAACCTCTTAGATTTCCTTTTGAATGATATGCAGGATCGTCGGATCACCCATATTGCTTACAAGGAAACCCTGGTCTACCGCGGCTGCTACGAGAGAGAGACGGACTGCGTTCCCGGTTGCTTTGGCAACGAGGAGCACATGGACTGTGTCAAGTGCTGCAACAAGAACATGTGCAACGGCGCAGGCGTGGTGACTTACAGTCTTCCCATCGTCCTCCTGGCTTGGCTTGTGACCAGAATAGTTTCTCGCTAGTTTATCATTAATTTTCTTGGTCTTTTTTTCTTTTCTTTTTGAGGCTATTTTTAGACGTTCTGTGGGGTGGGCCATATTTACGAGACAAACTTTGCTAGATATTTCCAAAAAAGTGCCTTAGTTGGATTTAGAAATACGGGAAATGGTCACACTTCACCTACTGTAGCTAGTTCCAACTTTTATTTCCCGGTCTATATTTGGTTGAGTATATCTAAAAGATCAACTTTTTACAATTATTGCTTACCCAATTGTACAGTTTCGCTGTAGTTTACTATCTTAGAAGATTATTATCGAATTCTTAAAAATATTGGCACATTTTCCATCTTTACCCCAAATGGTTAAGTCTAATTTGATGTCAGATTTTGTTAAATTAATCATAATTCGTGTACCAACTGCTCTATTTTTGACCAGGTATAGACAAATAACAACGTAATGATAAAATGTTCATGTACATAAAGACTTTAGGATTCTTTCGTTGTGTTGTTTTTTTTCATTGGCACTTTTAGACCCCATTTCTTATAACCCTTGTTATTTTTATATAGAAATGTCTCGTCAACTGTCGTTGTTTGTCGTAGTCTTTGACCCAGTAGATATGGTACTGTTTTTTTTACCGGTTTAAATGCAGAACTGAGATTTAAAAGGTTGCAGAGGATTGTTAAGGGGGACTAGACAGAGATTTTAGACCCACGGTCTCACAGTCGCTGGTTGTATTAGCAAAGTGTGCGATCCCACCCATTTCTTTTACTGGACGAGCTCATGGAAGAGACAGCCGAATTTTTTCAGCCTTTAGCACCGTCTACACGCGTCTTTAAATTCGTCAAGATTTCTGGGGGGACTCCACCCGATATTTTGTATCTTTGTCCTAAATCTCATCAATGCTCCGAATCTTTACAAGACAGCCAACAATTAACTTCAGGGTTTTTCCTTTCTTAGGCGTCGACGTCTTGCAGAACTTTCTACAACTTAAGTTTACTTGATCCCCGACCCCACCCTCCTCAATTTCCAATTTGTCCCCCTCTGTCAGTGATTTTGATATCTAAACAATCATTGTTCATTGTATTGTATATGTTTCAAAAAGCCACTGAGTCTTTAAATTTGAGTTTGGACTCCTTTATTGAATATTCCGGTTGTCAAAATACGTATAAAAGGCACATTTTTTTCGAAAAAATGCAAAGTAAAAATATTTGTAATTTAGTTCTCAATAGGACCAATTCGTAACCTTTCCCTTTGATTCGTTTCACCTCGAAGTTTTGTATATTTGTTGTAATTTTATTAATGTTTATAACTTTGGTTAAATTCATGAATATCGGTGACTTTGTATATTCTGGTTAATTAACAATGATAGACTTGTGTGAATAAACAAGTTGATCTCTTTCATAGCATTTTGGATTTTGCTCAATCGAACTCAAAATTGTTATGAGTGGTGCCATAAGATCGATTTGAGGGGTAGAAAGTTCAAAGTTAAATGAATTTTTCAGTTAGCAAAATGGGGCTTATGGCATTTCTAATATAAAACTCCAAATACAGTAACGTTACCTTTGATCAAATATTTCGTTTCGAAATTAATGGACACAATGACAGAATTGAGAACAAAAAATAATAACGTTTATGATGATACAAACTGTTCTCTCTCTGTGTTGGTAAACCTTACTCCTTTTGCCTAGGAATACTTTTACAATATTTGAGTGCAATTTCATGGTTCTCAAAAATGGTTGCTACATGCCAGGACTGTGTAGATTCTGAAAACAGGGATAAATTAATGATTTGATCAGCGGGAGGTTCATTGGAATAAAAGATGATCCCTGATAGCGGTCAATGGCTATCAAATAGGCTATGCCTCAGCCCCCACAACCTTACTTTTGGACAAAATGTTGACTCGTTCCAAGACGAAGGAAAGGTACCCTTCTTATTCCTGAAACCTTGTGTTGTAAATGCATTCTCAGCATATGGACCTATTCAGTTTCAATTTTCTAATGTCTAACGGCAAATGAATTGTAAATACCCATTTGTTTGATTTCACATTCCAATCCACAGTCATCATAAAAATGGCGGGGCAACTAAGTCTATCTTCGGGGTTAATGTTTAACGGAATCGGTGGCGGTTGTTACAGCATTCCACGGGTTCGAAGGTCGTTTTTTTTCTCTCACTAGGATCTGGCGTCAGTACGTTCGGCCATCTTTGTTTGCCACCATTCTCTGGTTGGATTTGCAACGTTCTCGGTTCAACGAAATTGTCACTTTGAAAGCCAATCCAAAACTAAACGAGGCCGTTGAGGTAAGTGGTTGTTTTTCATGAACAGAGAAGATTCGAGAAAGACATATATAATGAGCCTGCCACGCCGATCGTTTGGACGATTAATCCTATGAGTCTAGTGAATACAGCCACTGAGTCGTATATTTTCAAAAAATACGCCGTGTATGCAGGCTTTCCGATGACATGAGAAAAGCAGGCTACAGGACAGTGGGCCAGACGCATGAATGTACTCGACTCGGGGCAGTCCCGAAAAAAAGCAAAAAACCTACTATAAATGTTTGGTGATACTTCAGGATAGTTGCATATCCGAATTGGTTAATGACGTTAGAACTGTTTCTTTCTCCATAAGAAAATGAAAATTAAATACGATTAGATTTGGGGTGAAATGGAATGCGCGTGTTATAAACAGAGGCAGTCAAATCCATCAGGCTGAAACGGCTCCGTCAAAACTTATGTATCAAACAAGTCATACAGAGGGTTTGCACAGCTGCCATCTTGATACACGGCTTGGGTAAAGGAGGGTTTCCTTGTTGAACAAAGGAACTGCCCTACAAGATGGCTACCACGCAAAGCCTCTAGGGAGGCCTATAAGTGGAAGCTTCGCTTCAACGAGGAGATGAATGGGCGAGTTGATGATCTGAACCGATGGGATTCTGCGATGTCATATCAGCGATGTTTTGAACTGTTCCGAAATCCTAATCTGTGGCATTTGCAAGTTTGGAGCTAAATATCAAGACTGAGTTTTTCAGCGAGTACAAATTTGATCAAAGCTCTGGTGTCTTCTTTTTCGCAGAAATAGAGCCTCGACACGTGGACATCAAGATGAGGAAGTTTTACATTCTTGCGTTGTTGTTAATCTGCATTGGTAAGACAGTAGACACAAGTTGAACCTGCATCGTCTTGTACTTTATTTTTCCTATCAATATTATTGAATTCCTTCTGACTTAAACGACATTAAATATGTAATATTATAACATTGGCCATCATCGGTGTCGTTATTATGACCACCACTGTCACATTGTGTCACTTTCGAGTAGGCAGTTACTAGCATGTGAGGTGTGATTATCATTGCCATGATGGTCAACCTTTATCGTGGTGACCACTGTGCCTATCTTCAGCATGTGATACTGCCACACAATGGCAGTGGCATCAAGTCACTCTTTCACCATCCTTACGGCGTGAGGGCAACATTGTCATCGCCAAAGTCAGTGTCATTTAAATGATCACTGATAAGAGCTTGATTGTCTGGATACTATTTCGCTGACCTGCTTACCATCCTTTCCTTTGTCTTTATACCGATTTCCAGGTTACAGCCAAGCCAAGTTTTGCTACAGCTGCACGGGGTACGAGGGTAGCTCATGCGACCGCGAAGTCTTCTTTCGCGAGGACCCAAGAATAGGCAAGATAGAATGTCCTCGGTACTGTTTGGTACGTATTCAATTTCTCTGGACATTATATACAAGTTTCTTCCCTCACGCTGTTTCACTGTGGAAATTATTGCCAGGATTTTGCATTTCCTATACACATTGATATGGTAGACACACTTTACATCAATCGCCTTATTTTGTTTGCGTATTCCTTAAGCATTTGAATCCGCTACTTCGAGCGGCCCTTCCCAAAGTGTGTAATAAAGTGTGTCTTTTTCTTCTTAAAAGTAGCGATTTATTGCTGTACCTTGTAGGTTTGAATTAAGAAGAGCTCGGTGATTACAATTTGTTTTACCTCTGACCTGCGCAGTTAGCGCCTAGTTACTGCGCCCTCTTACCATGCTTTCCGTTCCGCATGCCCTTTGACCTTGCTCTTCGCAGAAACGATTCACCAAAGATGAGTTCGGTCGACGCATCACCATACGCGGCTGCGGCGGAGACGGCTGCGAGGACAAGTGCGACGCCAGTGGCGACGAGTGCACCTACTGCTGTCAGATGCACGACCTGTGTAACGGCGCCGGCGCAGTGACCTTTAGCCTGGCGCTCGTGGCGGGGGCGGCCATGTTGGCTAGGCTGATTTAGCCACATTGGTGGGTTTTCCGTGTTGGCTGATTTAGATTCAACATAACGCTGAGGGAAAAGAGCCCCTTTTAATACATGTATTTAGTTTGAACTTGACATACGACACCAACTTGCCCTACTGACAACATGTGCACAGTGTCTAAAACGAAATTCTTGAAATGATCGGTGAAATTGTGTCTTTTTCGGACATCCATAGACCAAATCAGAATGAAAACGCTCTGTTCTTCGCCTTCTTTATGTTACGTGCTTATTTTCATGGGCACTATTATATGCTTTCCGATGCAACTTTTACATCAACCGACACAGAATTCCATCAAAAGAATGAAATTGACCAGTTGGTTAGCTCATTGGAGGGGTTTGAAAAAGATGGTTTTGTTTGTTGATTTCAGTACTTTCTGTTTTTCCTTTTACGGGCCCTTCAAGTTTTAGTTCCAGGTTCTTTGTTAAGAACAACTTCAATTCTTATTCTTAGTATAGTTCAACGATGTAAAAACCTTGTATAGAAAAACTTGTAATGTGTCTTCCATGTCATTTTTTAAACGTGTCTTCAATTTTTTTCAGAAGATAGATTTTTCATTAAAATTAACAGAACTGTAACAAGATCAAAATTTCCACACAATTTACCACGTAAGGGCGTTATTCAATATGGCGGCCTTGGCGTCTTCACAATGATGTACCAACAATCAAGTACAGTTGGACCAGTTTTAACGCATTCAGTCATCAATTTGACTATGTTTTATTTAGATTGTTTATTATCTTGACCGTAGCAAGTCTTGACTGCCATTTTCCTCTCATCATTCGTTGCTTCATGCACCACTGAACAGCAAGCTGCGAGTTAGCACCATATCCAGAACAATGTAATGTTTTGGCAATGCAATAGTTAAGTCCTGTAGCCGGTAGAGATGTACATGTCTACTGTTTTAAGTATGCAAATCTGATGTTTGTATCAGTGCTTCGTCTCATGTAGATCTCTGTTTCCAGTGACAGGAGTATTAATGTGATTAGTTGAAATCGAACTTTGAGTCAAATGAAGTTGACTTTGGAAGCCACTGTCATGATAAATATGATCCCATAGGACTGGAAAATAAGTACATCATATAGTAAATCAGATATAGCCTTTTTAATAGATATTTTCCATTCTATAGTTCTAGCCGAATAGTAGGCCTAACTATTTGGTCTTCATTCAGTACAAAATTGCACTTTGTTAAAAAAACTGTTTTGCAGAAATTATATCAAATTAGTCTAATGCGAAAGTTTTGCACTTGTAAATATGTTTCTAATAATTATGTACATATGACTTAAACGTTTTTACAAAGTACAAGGAGCTAGAATTAACATTAAGGGATGAAAGATTGTTTCAAATAAACCATCATCGATGACTAACTCTTCTGTCCAAAGGGACTATTTCACAGGAATTTTACAACAATTCGTTCAGCCGGTTTGCTGTCATAAAATGGCTGGCGGTGATTAACAAGCGGCACAATGCCCCGTTAATAGGAAATGGGCATACCTGTCGGCTAGTGCAGCGCCAAAAATGTGGGGTTAATGCATACTCTCGTTAGCTACACCGGCTGACGGTCGTTGCCCAGATCTCAAGGGTGCAGAATTAACCCCGACTTGGCACAACAATGTTTGGCACTTTTGTTTTATTTCTAGCAAGAACTTCAATTTTTGTACTGCGCAAACTCATAGCCTTTCTTGGACGTGGTGTGCATTGTCGATCGGGTGGCCATATTGGGATCTTCATCATGTTTCAACAATGCTTTACTATTTGGTTCAATCTTCTCTTATTCCTCCATGCGACGCTGCGACAAGATGGAACGTGCATAATGCAGACGTTTAACAATAGTGCGCCTCCAAGAGTTTACAACGCGTTGGCCAATCACAATGCGCAACGTCTGTCCACCCAATGCGCGTTTGGAAAGGGTCGGCACATTTCGCACGTTGTGATTGGCCAGCGCGTTGCAAACTCTTGCAGGCGCACGATTGTGAAAAGTCCTTATTATCCTTTATATACTGCGTGCTCAAACAACACTCCCTTACGAAACAAATTTGTCCTTTTTACTTCAACCATTTCAACCAAATTGAAAATCAAGTGACTTTTCAGACATCAGCTTTACCCACTGCAGATTTTTATCAAAATTTTGATCGGAGAATTTTCATCAAAGTTGAGATCTACAGACCTTCTAGAGGACAAAACCGTGTTTCTTTTCATTCAAAAGTAATTTCTAAATGATTGGCAGAAAAGTCCAATTTTGGCCCTACTTTAATTATTTTGCAAGTCTATCCCCTTGCAGATTTTCACCGAAATTTTCACATAGGGATTTTCCTCAAATTTGCCTTCTACAAGCCTTCCAGATGACAAAAACATGTTTCTTTTTGTTGAAATATGATTTCTGAATGATTTGTGCGAAAAGTCAAATTTTCCCCAAATCTGATTATTTTGCAAGGCTAACCACTTGCAGGTTTTTCCAAAATTTTGACCAAAGAATTTTCATCAAAATTGACTTCTACAGGCCTTCTAGATGACAATCGTGGGGTTTTTTTGTTCAAATACGATTTCTGAATGATTTGAAGAAAGTCAATTTTTTTCATCCAAATTTCATTATTCTGCAAGGCTAACCCCTTGCATTTTTTTTTAAATTTTGACCAGAGTATTTTCATCAAAATTTGCCTACTTCAGGCCTTTTAAACGACAAAAACATTTTGTTTTATGTTCAAATATGATTTCTGAATGTTTTGAAGAAAAGTCAAATTTTGGCCAAAATTCAGTCATTTTGCAAGGCTAACAACCCCTTGCAGATTTTTTCAAAATTTAGACTAAAGAATTTTCATCAAAAGTGAAATCTAGAGACCTTCTAGATGGCAAAAATCTGTTTCTTTTCGTTTAAAAATTATTTCTGAATGATTTGACGAAAAGTCTAATTTTGGCCCAAATTTGATACTTTTGCAAGGCTAAACCCTTACAGATTTTTTCAAGATTTTGATCAAAGAATTTTCATCGAAAGTGAAATATAGCGGCCTTCTAGACGACAAAAACTTGTTTCTTTTCGTTCCAAAATGATTTCTGAATGATTTGACAAAAGTCTAATTCTGGCCCAAATTTGATTAATTTTCAAAGCTTGCATATTTATAAAAGATCCCTTTGATATTGTTTGGTGCTAATTTGGAAGGATTTTGTTGGTTTCACATCCAAAACTCGTCCATGTTGACCTCCACGGCAGCCGGGTCGTCTGCTGCCTTCTTGTCGTTTGACGTCTGCTTGTTGTCGGGAATCTCGTGGTCCTTTTTCGTTTTTCGTCGAAGTTTCCTACGGGAAGTAGAAACATTCATCATAATCAATTAACCTCAACTTGACGGCGTGAAACTGGGAGCGATATTGATATTTCTTTTGCTCGATTATACTTTTGTCAGGGTTTTTTGGTTGTTGTTATATGTTGTGAATATCTGTTCTTACTTCCTCGTGCACACGCGCGTCCTGGCTCGGTAGAATGAGGTTGAATGGCCCACGGGCAACTACAGCCTTGTTTTGGCAATCCTTGGCCTAACTGGTAATTGATCTGTGGTTGAGTGCTATGGCAATATTTTACTGGCAGATGAAGCCTTCAACATCTGTTCATGATTGTTACGTTGGAAACACTCGCATTCTACCTCCGTGCTTAGAGTATTGCCCCAAACGCTATCCTTTTAACGACAGGCGAGAACTATACAGCGTGACTTACCAACTGACAGACAACACTATAGACCAGTCGTGACTAGACATACAATCATGCTTCTATGGGTAAAAGTAGCAGCCTGGCGGGTAGCTTGGCGGCCAGACGACTCGAACCGTGTCTATACTCACTTGGGGCAGCAGCCGCAGAAGCACAGGGCGTCCATGGTGAGGTCGAACCATTTCTTGCACTCCCGCTTGATGGGTTTCAAGCATCGCCACGTGTCGTCCTTGCAGTACGTCCTAACGTAGACCACTGTCATGAGGCCGCCGGTCACGCCGCCCAGAATGCCCAGCATCCCGTAGAACTTGGCCATGCTGCCCGGTGATGAGAAAGAACGGGATTACCTTAAAATTTCGTTTCCATTCCAGTCTCAAGTCTTTGCTAGCCTCTAGTTGGCTGGAAGTTAATGGCTAGCTTTCGGTAGAGACTGTTGTTTGTCGATAATTTTCTCCATCCTGCCTGATGCTTTATATTTTGTTTTAGTCGGTGTATGGTTAATTGATTAATTAGCTGTTGTGCATTATACCTCACTTGATGTTTATGGTTACCTGTGTGCTCTTTTAGTATTGCTCTTACAAAAACTGTGCTGTCAAAATGGTATCAGATTAACTCCCTTGATATTCACAGAGGATCACAGCGTACTGGTTTGGTTTTTAAAGCAACCTTTTATTGCCTTTTGAGGGGTGTGGCTATTTTGGGGGGCTTATGCGTGCACTGAGAAGGGAGGGACATTAAACTGTCAAAACATATCGGCCCAACCCCAGAGCCGTACAGAGAGAGTAGCGCCAACTTCATACTTTGTAACCAAAATGGCTGCTCATGATGTATGGAGCGAGTACAGCATGCAGCTACTGTGCTAATAATCCATGTGCACTGATGCATAATCCACCATTTTGGTTCCAACAATTGAGACACTCATGTCGCAACTCTCTCTCTCCCTCTATAAACGGCTCTACCTAACCCTACCCCCAGGAGCCCACCTCTCGGCTCTAGCCACCTCAGGGGATTGACAGCAGCTGTGATAGTCGCCATTCTCGTCCGGTCGCTCGTTGTGGCAGCAGGTGTTGTAAGTGTTCTCCGTGCCGTCGGGCAGGGTGTCGGGGCACTCGTAGCTGTTGCCCGGCTCGCCCACGTCCAGGTCGGGGTCGATGGGACACTGTGTCGAGAGGACTGGCACCAGGGAGAGACGGAATTGTGACCTTTGACGAGCAAGCTCGGTATTTCGAAAAGGTGAGACCAATCGAGAGCACAGGACGCAACGAAGCCGGCTTATCCGACTTGTTTGACGTCACTTCAGTTCAAACCGCGCCCATTGCGAACAGAGTTCCATGGAGCCATGGAACCGGGATTTCATCGTACAAAGAACGGAATGACCGCTCGCATTGAAATGTAAGGACTAAAACTTCACAGGCCCAAAAGGGTCGGTAACCAGTGATGACCAAATGACTAGTAATGGACAAACTTAACGCAGAAATCGTTACGATCTGCACAAAGTTTGAATCGAAAGATAAGTTATCAGCAAAGCCATTCTGACAAAAGCTTTGCATGTTAAAATCCCCTGATGGTCAGACAAAACCTAGTAACAATGACCTAAGTAGCCCGGTTTGGGTGTTTCTTTCGTTCTGAAAACAGAAATTGCTTATTCTTACCTCTTGTTTTTTTGGTCACACGCCTTTTAGATTGTTTACAAAGCTGCAGACTTAACTTTGTGTAGGACTTTTTAGGTTTGTAAATTCTCATGATTCCCCCTCCCCGGTTTCCGACGCTTCTCAAACCAAATGAGTGTAACTTACCGCCCAATGGGAGGATCAACAGCAGAACAAACTGGACAAATTTTCGTATTCGTGGCCTTCTTTTGTGCCTCATTGTGCCGCTGGTATCAAAATAAAGACTGAAAACCCTCCTTGCGACTTCTAAATTGGGGTTCTTAGAGCCCAGCTTCAGAAACAAGTTGTTGGGCAAAATGGCAGCCGAAGTGTTTTGGAGCTGTGTGTTATAGCAATGCTAAGATCATCGTGTCTTTTTGTGATGTAATCATCGACACGAAGTCTCCCATACTGATCAATGAGGATGAAGGCGTTATCAAAGGGAGGTTCTTTGACAATCGATCGAGTCGTCTCCTCGATCGATCGTGGAGACGACTGGAGTCAATTGCGCCCTCTTTTGTTTGACAAGCACTCTGTTTACCTTAGAACATGCTACAGAATTGAACTAGGCCATTACTAAAATAGTCTTTGATCTCTTTTACTGCCATTGGGTTGAAAAAATACACCAGTAAAGATGCGCTAATGACAGCTTTGCATTATCATGCACAGTTATTTTCTTTTGTTTAAACTGTACCTCGCGCCTGAAGTTTTCCTTCTGAAATTACAGCAAAGGTCTGTCGGGGCCCAAGTTCGAGCGACTACCTTTCCCAGACCACTTGCCGGCCTTTCCTGGTTACCTCCACATAAAATATATACTGGGTTCCAGGCAAAATCGACAAGCGGTGGCCAAAAATGAATTATCATCTCTCGAACCTCTGTGGCGTTGGGAGACAGGCTCCTCAGCTAGTGCACGTGCCACACGGATAGCTCCTCAAGGGGTATTAAACTGCAATAACAATAAATAATACAATTTTAAAAATGGTTTTCCCTTACGACAAAGCTTTTCATAATGAAGTTAATCGACCGTTCTCAACTTTTCTTTGTGGACAGGTAACTTTCCCGAAGCAAAGCAGTGCCTTTACTATACTGTAGAAGCGAGCGAGAGCTCCAATTACTTTTGCGGCCCTCCTAGGCCTAGAGCACGCAGACATCACACTCCGCGGTCACAATTGAAAAACTGTGCACCTGTACCCGACCACTCGATATCCTTTTAGCTTCCAGTGTAAAATGAAACCAGACCTGGCGAGCCAGCCCATAGGATGCATGTGTCTCTTGATTAGGTTTGGTCGCGGGAGGGGGGGTTCAAGCTAATAAGAACACTAGAGGGTGTGGCTACGGCGACTCAGACTTGACGGGAGATAGGGGATCGGATGGCAGTCACCGTGTGGCGGATCCAGGGGCGACTTGCAACTGGCAGTTCCTCCTGGTGAATCGTCGGATGTAAAGAGACACCAGCTTCAAAAATGTGTCCAACTCAGTTGTAACATGGTTGTAATGTCTAAACAAACAACATAGAGCTATGTACAATTTGTGTTATTGTATAGGACGCGTTCATTGTTGCGCTTATTGCCTCTAGTCTGCTCTGTCCTTCAAATTTGTTACCTTGAAGCCACCTTCGGACAGTAACATTTATAACCATCAAAAAATAGACTTTCGCATAATGGAAATGTAGTTATGGAACAGCCTGACCAAGAAACCAAACTCATCCTGATTGCTTGCAGGTACGTTCAGTCTGTGTGAAAAATCACACCCTTAAAGAGCGAAACTCTCTGCTTGTTTGAAAAAAAGGTGGGGCGTCATTTTACTCATGTGGCGTGTGGTTTTATTATCAGATTTTTTATATTTCAAACTTAAATGCACACCAGAGGTCACAAAGAAGACTCCTCGTTTTGATTTTAAACTTTACATTGCATATTTAATAGAAATTTGACAACTGGGAACTGGGATATTTTGAAATCCAGATCTTGATTTGTAATTGACTGAAACATACACGTGTACTTGCCCCCTTCTTTTATCTAACGCATACAACAAAGACTTTTTTTTGCTACTTAAATTTTAGATTTATGTTACATCTATGTATTAACTTTGTGCAAAGTTTGACTTTCATAAAAAGCCAACAAGTTTTCATTACAACATCCCAGTGTACAAATATATAATTCTCTCCATTTTACAGACAAAACTCTAGAAATCTGTAGAGCAGAATTGTGTACAAAATTTTGCAGTGGCTATAAAGGTAGAATGTTCACCGTTCACAGTCTGAATCTCGTGGAGATTCATCAAGTCTGGCTGAAACCTATTTAAGTCGCCAGATTAACCAACAATTCTTTAATAACTCGATTCCACAGCAACTATCAACCATAAGGCAAAACGTTTTTATACTGTCGCAATAGGAAAGTTAGAAAAAGCTTACCTACATTGTAACTTTCATTTGAGCACGGCATCATGGGATATGATACGTGCGCACGAACTGCAGTCCAGACGGACATTGGCGAAGTTAGACAAGGCCGCCAGTATTATAATAACGCACGTCACAGATCCCGATCAATCGAGAGCATACATATCCACCCACGCGCGAGAGCGGCCCTCAACCGTTGCTGCTCGTTTGCAACACGTATTGAAAATGTCGAACTGGCATAGCATCAAAAAATATGCAATGTAATATTTCTGAGAAAAACAGGGACCATTTAAGTGATACACCATATTTCCCTCATATTTAATCATATTCGACCATAATTATGAAAACGCATGAGTAGTGTGACAGTTTTCAAACAATAATTGCTTTAAAAATGCTGTGTTTAGCTTTCGCCCTTCCATTCTGTACTAACTAGAAAATATGTTAACAATAATGCGACCTCTGTCTGTTACATGGCAACTGAATTCACAAATGTCCATTTTCTTTTCAAATTCCCAGTACAATATGAAATTAATGTGAGACTCTTGAGAAAGTCGTATTCGCTTCTTTTATTTGTACTATTTAGCCTGTGCGTTATCACCGTAAATTCCACAAGCACATGCGGAATAAGATCAAGGGTTTACATCTCACAACGGTACCAAATTACATACGACACCAGACGCTACCACCAGAATTGCTCCTTATCGTCAAGCACCACCATGGGCACCACTAGGTGTTCCTGACTGTCGCAAAGTGGTTCGATCTGGTTCAGTTTGGTCGCTTCTAGTCTTCGTTGGGTCTTCCGTTTAGCCCTGTTGGGAAATCGCAAAACAGATTGGCCTAGACCGCCCTCTGTTGGCCACAGTGGCCGACTGATATCAGCTGACATATTGTGTAATGTAACGAATGTTGTATGCAGAGAGCATTGCTGCTACTGTCCTTGCTTGGAACAAAGTAAATACCGTGAACTGCACGCACACAAACCTTGTCCAACCAAATTTTGCTTTTGAAAATGAAGCATGGAGTATAAATCAAACGCATGTAGACCCACTAGCTGCACATGCTCAGAAGACTACACAGTGAGGAAATGCAGTCTGGTTCCTTGAACTGACGATTCTGACGACTCTTCATAAAAGATCGACACTGTCTGTACTGCAAGGCTGACCGAAGCTTACTTGTTTCAATGCAGGTAAGCTTGAACACTTACGTTGGGAGTGACGCATGGTATTGGTATTAATTTGAAAATACCAAGCTTCGCGTTCGACATATAGCCCCTCACTGAAAAATGTTGGGTTTCGAAAGCAACCTAGATTGCATTGGTAGGCACTTAAACGTGGTGAGCATCAAATGATTTTTTTCCTGAGAAAGTTAAAGACAATGTACTCGGAACATTTTACACATTTTCGGGACTGGAGGCAATTCCTATCCCTCTGGCAGCTCCTTGGACCGCCATTATGATCCTGAAATTTTGGGAACCTGACCAGGTCTAAAAGCCAGAACCCTGGGAACCAGACCATATGGCCAGTCATATTTTAAGCCTTGCCCGAATTACTTTGCTTGAAATTGCACACGATGCTACGTTATCGACTGCAGCAACTTCCCATAGACGTACGCAATTTAACTTTAAGCCGTAGCCAAGAGGACGTAATTCAGACACGGCCCCAGTGTGAGCACAAAGACGAAAGTAAAATTAAAATTGTTTTTCGTGTGACAGACGTGTTCTGATTGAATAGTACGAATGGTAGCGCACACATTAATGGGGTGAAAAATATTAAAGGTGCCTTACTTGAAGCAATCACAGAAACATATGGCGTCCAGACAGGCATCTTTCCAATACTTGGTGCGTTGCTGTAGCACCCCCACGCAAGGATAAGTGTCGGACCGGCAGTAGGTGAAGACGAAGATGATGGTCAGGAGGCAGGCGGTTGCTATGCCAACATAGATGCCCGTCTCCTTGACCGAGCCCCACCTGGGAGTGGCAGACAGAATCAGCATGTGGATTTGATCGATTTAGCAAGTTGGGAGCTCACTGTGTTTACCTTGGTGGCGCATCCAAGCGCAGAGCCGGGGATTAAAAAAATACGGTGCGTGTAAAAACTCGATGCCGAAGCCGGGGAGAAGGTTTCAGCGCCCAAAACGCGGGAAATCTAATTTGCGTCTTGGCTCCAGACGAGCAACGTTTGTGTGTTCGGCGTTGGTCGGAATGTTAAGGTTTGGCAGCTCGAGCGCACTTTGGAATTATCGATCGGTCGTGCCAAACTCACTTAGATGCCGCTGGATATTCAGAATTTGAATGAGAACATTGAAATAAATTATTACAGAATGTTGGATTTCCAAAAACACAAACGAAAGTTTTAGCCGCCTTCAACAGTCTCATGTCGATTTCCAACCCACCTGCATTTGCTACGTCGAACTACTTTTCCTTAATCTTCGCGGGAAGCGTCTAGTACATTTTGAAATATTTGCAACCTTTTCTCTTGCTTTTTTTTTCTAAAATGTGGAATTTATACATGTACAACGAAATGAATGCCCCAAACCTACGGTACTATATAATAACCGAATTAACGAACAACCTCAAACAGATTTTAAAATACCCTGGAAATTATATAAAACAAATTGTCAAAATATAATATACCTTCCCGAAATTCCTTTCATTTGATAAAAAAAATACAAAAAGGATCTAAAGAAACTTAAATTCTCTTTTCTGTAATAAATCGTGGCGTGTTGCGCTTGCCAACGCTTTCAAAAATTAATACCTTCATCAAAAACTCCAGTATTCATGCCTAGAATGAGGAATTCTGCTCTATAGAGAGCACAAGGCGTATACTATTTTTGCAGATTGATTATTACGGTTTGGTTAATATTTCAAGAGATATCGTGTGAAACGCAGCAGATTCTCGATGTTTCACTCCCGGACTTTGTTCGACGAATCAATCGTGACCGCGCCCCAGATCGGCCGGGCCCCGTTGAATTCGTCTTGAATGGATGCATTCGCCCGTTTTAATAATCGCAAGAAATCCAATGGCGATACATCGTATCAAAGACTCCTTCAAAAGATGTAGAAAGTATCTAGAAAAAAACCCATTTTGATTAATTTGTTTTCCCCCTATTGCAATTCAAAGCACTTGGGGAAATTTCCAATTTCCTGTGATACAAAATGCAACTCAAGTAATGAAAATATACGAGGGAAAGTGTGAAAGGCCGTGTATTGATTTTGTCCGACTGAATTTCATATATTTCGCTATAACTCGAATCTCTGGTAACAAGTGATCAGGTTACCATTTCGAAGAAAGGATTTAGGTTACCTGCAAATTTATATAGCCTTCATTTAAAGCATCGTTCCCATGAACCCCCACCCGATTCGCAATCTTTCAAATCAGACGGTGTCTTTTCTTTATATGGCTGGGGCTATCCACTGTGGCGCGGTAATGGCAACAAGAAGTAGAGCCGCAGCCACCATGGACCATACCCACCTCATCTGACTAGGCCTGGAATCGATGATGGCGGCCACCAGGGACTGTAGGAAACATGAAGTGAAGCAAAACAATCTCTAAGACCAGATCTGATTGAATCTGCCGCTTTTGTCATTAGTTTTAATTGGACTAGCTTTCATGCGCACACACGGAACATTGTGTTCATTGATGCGTGTTTACACGATATTTCTAATACATAATCTCCCGTCAATGACAAAAACGATAGGAACATACTTATGCCACCGCCGAGCTAACTTAATGAATCAGTTTGGCATTTTAGAAGATGAAGTCATTCAAGAAAGAAATCAGGCGTGCAAGTCAGCTCATAGCCGCGCAGACCTGCACCTATTTAATACGCGTGCGTGTTCTCGAATGACTTCGGATGGGTGTCATGTTGAGCATGCGCTGTTCTGCTGTTGGAGTACCAAAGTGGCTCACTGGCTGCGGCTTGACATAATAGTCACGGAGCCTACGGAAGCCACAACCTAACGGCTAGTAAATCGATGTTTCAATAGAGACCTATGCATTAATGTGCCAAAAACAAATCTTCGTTCCGCTACACATTATCAGTGAGTGAGAGAAACTCAGGCGGTGTTTAATGTTCTGCTTCGTGCCCAGCACTGGGCTACAACCAACAAAAATGTATTCAATGGTTAATACAGGCGATTCACAATGAGCACGCCTCCAAGAGTTTGGAACGCGTTGGCCAATCACAATGCACTAAAATCTGTCGACCCTTTCCGAACGCGCATTGAGTCAACATATCGCGCCTTGTGATTGGCCAAAGCGTTTTAAACTCTCGGCGGCGCGCTAATGTGAAACGCCCGTATTGTGAGAAAAGTGATGTAATATTGGGAACGGACTTCAAGGCAAATTGTAATGACAGCTTAGTTAATTAATTCCAATAGATTTCATCGGAAAGTGTGAATTAGCGCTGCCTCGACTAATTTGGTAATGCAGAGTTTTTCCAACTGTTGAGTGTTGAGGGATTCCAAATTCCAAAACCATTAGAACAGTTTTGTTACAAATAAAAAAAATGATGGTCTTTGCATTTATTTGCTTTCATTAAACAAGTGTAAAGTTGAGGTTTCTGGTTATAAATTCCATTTTTTAATTTTATTTTGCTGTACGACAAACTTGCCACATACCTGATGTCTTTGAAAATTGACGTCAAAATTTCTAATCCAGATTTTCTTAACGTTTGACAATCAATTAATGATGAAGACGCTTTTCTAATTGGGAATAATCAAGTGCATTTTAGGACTGGAGACCATTTTATTCAACCTCAACGGCTGAGTTAGTCAGAAATCAAGTATCATTTGAATAGTTACGCTTTGCTTGAATTCTCCCATGGCAAAAATATTCAAAAATCCCCTGTGAATTTTGTCTTCGTCTAATTTAACGAAGGCTTAGCGTTCATAATCCCGGGGAACATAAGCAGCTTGAGAAATAAAGCCCTTCTTCAGGGAAAAAAAGGAAAATTACATCAAATTTATTGCGTTGGTCCCAAAATATGTCTTGGTGAAGTCAGTTCCCCGCTCCGTGTTGGGAAAAGCATTTGTTAATTTCCTGACCTAAGCCGGGAGCTCAGGTGCGACTTTGCAAGGGCATTAATAACTCTCCCTGTGTATATTCGGACCGCCGAGGCCAGAACAAAATTACGCCTGGTTTCTTGGGTGCACAAAATCCTTCGATTTTGCCCCTTTGCTTGTCCACAAAAATGAGACATTAAAAAAGTCTCCAATCGACCGAACCCCCCCCGCCCGGAAAAGATGCCGGTTTTGTCTGGAATGGTCACGTAGTCACGTACGAAAAGACCTCGTTGCGGATGATGCTGCCATTGGTGCGTGCAATGTGGAGCCCTACGTTCATATTTGATTGAAGTATACGCCGTAAGTGGAAGCACTCCTCATTGGTTGAAAAGAGCCATGTTGTCGGGGGCGGGGGATGTTCATTTTGTTGTTAGCGAATACGTGATACGGCCGTTTCAAAATAGTGCGCCAACAAGGGTTTGCAACCCGTTGGCCAATCACAGTGCGCGAAATCTGTCGACCAAATGCGCGTTTTGAAAGGGTCGACAGATTTTGCGCGTTGTGAATGGCCAACGCGTTGCGAACTCTCTGTGGCGCACTATTGTGGATCGCGCCCGTGTTGATTGCAAGCAGAGCGTGCATTCCAGCGAAGCGCAGTCCCTTCCAAAGGAGCCCCCTTTGGAAGACAAATTGCGCACCCTGTTGGTTCAACTCGGAGCTCATGCACCTCAGACTCTTCATACCTTAACCTAACCCCCCTAGGGTGTTTGTAAAATCATATTGAAATCGGAGGATTTAGAGTTGTTAGGGTTTAACAGGAAGAACATCTCTATTTCCAGTCCACAGATCACTAGTGCCCGGAGGTCATCTTATGCCCTCTACTTCGACGGCTCCTTGCTAAGGAGGTAAGCTACGGTATTAAAGATCAATTCTGCTTAGCATTATCGACACTTTATGTGCAAAATGATGCCGGGGCCAGTTGCAAAAAACTGAAGCTTTGACGCGAAGGATCGGGGGAATTATATAATGAAGATGATTCTTACTGAACCTTGATATTATTAATGACAATAGACGCAATATCTCTGGCTCGAGCCTTTTGTATCTCGAAAACGCTAGTCTTTTCCTCTCTGGCCTAACCTAAGCCTGTTGCAATTTGAAGCGAATGCTATTATTCCGAAGAAACGACTGGAGAGGATTATTAATGATGAAAACATTTACAGAAAAAAAAGATTTCCAATTGATAAGATGACAGCGGGCGGGACTGTGATTTTATCGCCGCTGGCCACTGGGCGCTCGAAAGCACGACAATGCACGGTTCCTCCGCTTGGCCTTGTTTCCAGCCTGCTATCGGTCGGGCACCACCTCATCAAGTCAAGGTTCACGGCGTTAATCTGACCCCGTCCAGCACTGTTTCAAGTGCGGAACCAGCCTCGGATGTACGTCTAAAGAGACAATGTAGGCTCGAAGCAACAACTACCTCTACGAGCAGTCATACTCAAAGAGTAGTCATTCAATATGCACGGAAAGAAGTCTTAAAGTAGTCAAAGTAGGAAGGCAGTCATAAACCAGTCATACTAGAAAAATGTAAATGCTTCGTTATGCTATTGGAAGAAGTACTTTATACTTGAACAGTCACACTATAGTGGAAAGTAGCGTTGCTTTGAAATAGTACTGAAGTAGAAGTAGTCATGCTAGAAAGGTATTCGTGTCATGCTAGCCCCGTAAAACTAGTTATGTCTAAAAAGAAACCACCGAGTCAAAATGAACGAACATGGTCATCCTTAACACAATTGAAATTTGTTTTTAAAAAGTGAAATCTTGTTGGATCCCTGGGATGCATAGTATTAACAGCGCAGCTGCTGATGGAAGAAGCTATGGGTTCCGAATGGGGTACATCATCGGCATTTGCCAAGGAAGGAAAAATGAAACTCGGGCGAAAGCCAAGGGTATTATGGGTAGGAAAA